GATGATGCTTCTTGAAACAAATTTAACTTGGTTCTAAGTTTACTTTCTCTTCTAATCTTTTTATTTTACATGTAAGTAAACATGTAGCAGATTGTGATCTTGATTATAGAACTAGTTACTTATAAATTATTTTAAATTTTTGAAAAAAAAAAATCTTGTTACACATCCAAACGTAACTAGTTTTTTTAATTTCCCAAGAGCTGTTCGTTATATAACCAAAATTTCATACAATTAATTATGAGAAAAATTAGAATCAAATTCAATTATTAGAAAACGGTGTGGGGATGGGGACGGGTAGTGGAGGGAAGCTTAGAAAGAATGAGGTTTAGCCTATGAAAAAAAAAAAATCAAAACCCTAAACCTCAGTTTCAAAAAAATTAGGTTTAGCCTATGGAAAAAAAAAATCAAATTTAATACTTCAATTTCTAATTCCTGTCAAAGACTCAAAGCCAAGCTACTTATGCATGGTCAAAAACCGTACCCAGATGAGTGGCTAAAGGTCAGTGGAGATGGGGCAAACAAAGGAAACCCAATAGCTCAAGAGACCATTGTGGAGTTTGGTCCAATATTAGAGCAGAGCTCGTTTTATTTTACTAAGCACTTATTATTTCTGGGATCTAATAGGTACTTCGTGGGCTGGCCCAATCAACAATGACTATGGATTTTGGATTGTTTCTCATCCTCTTCTTGCTTAGTCCAGTAACGAAACTGATCAGAGTCGGAGACTGGACTCGACAAAGTACAGCCTCCATGGGCCTTAATCACCCCAATCAGAAACAAAACCCAACAGTTTTCGTCCTTTAAACTCCACAATGAAAGCTCTGATGAAAAGAACTCCTTTCACGTCCGGCTCAGACCGACAGCACTCTTCGTCAAGAAATAAGAATACCATACAAGAAGAAATTTTACAAGCAAAAAAAACCATTTCTACCGCATCATTCTCCAGCATACTATCAAAATATGCACAAAAGAGAGTGTACTCGTACAAAGTACCACGCAGAGATGCGAGATATTTTTCCCATTTCTTCCTTTTTACACAAAAAGCAAAAATCCCCCAAGCAACAATCTCATACTTTCCACAAACCTACATGATCAAACATGTATTATCTACTACAGCATGCAACAGTGTAGACAACACGAGCTAATATCTCGACCCCAGCCCATCAATCTGCTAACTTGTTTGATTGTGAGTCATGCTGGCGTGCAACTCTAGCAGAAGAATATGCTGAGACCACGGACCCTGTCACATTCAAGGATTGCTTTGCTAGACCTACTCCCTTCTGTGTTGCCACCCATATGGTCCAAAAGAATCCGATCCAACCTGATGAGAAAAGAAAAAATGAAAGCTCAAAGAACCATAAATAAATATTAAGTTTCACTTAGGCTAACTGCAGAATCCCTAGTTGCCTATTTCATTCATGGATCTCCGAGCCAAACCAGATGAGTGGTTATTTTAAGTACAAAACCAGTTTACGTAAATGACACAAGCAGAAAACCATACTGTTAAGCTGTTAGTCATTGGACAATAGAACAGGAAGAGCCTTTGAGGACTTAAAGAAGATATCAGAGCGGATGTGACGCATGGTCTTTCCTGATAATGTTAATAGATCAGCCAACCCGGTCAAAAACTACCATGCAACTTAACAGAAGACCTTGTCATGGAAGGACATCTGGGCACTTGTATGTACGCATATAACCACAATGCAGTAGGACACTTAAGTACAGGCAAAGAGATTAATGCCAATAAGGAGTACTATTAAACGAGGATAAGCACAAGCAGCTCAAACTGAGAGAAGCTCTAAAAACTGAAATGAATACATGAGCACCAAAAACATAAGTTAAGCACCAGTTACCCTGTTGGATCTAAGCTTATAAAAGAAAAAAAGTAAGCTCAGTGAATGTCTCCATTTGAGAGCCAAAGTGGGAGGAGAAAGAAGGGAGAATGAGACTTGAATTAAAAGGTCTACCTGCGGTAATAAGAACAGCAATAATTGCAGATATAGTTGTAGCAGAAATAGCAAACACGGCAACGGACAATGCACCAATGTAGATGGCTGTAAGAGAAGCAAAGAAGATAGCCAAGAATCCTCCAGCTGCTGCTAATGACATGAGAAGAGATATCACAACTGCATTTAGAGTTGCAGCAACAAAGAACAATATGAAAACTAGAAGTCCTGTCAGAGCCAGAAGAGCAATTGTTCCAACCTGGAGCAAACACAAGCAGCAAAAGAGATATCAATAATGGCGTGCTGGAATTTCCAACTCAATAATATACTGCTTCAAGCGTCAAGTCAACAGCTATGAAGATCAACTCTTTTTCCATAAATAAGGTGCAGACACAATTTTAGGTGTTTACAAATTGACCAACCATGACTTCAGGTCTCCATCACCCCATCAGTTCAATAAAAAGCACAGTTTTACAAATCATTGTTCTTCCTGAACAGAACACATCCCCAAAGGTGAAACAGTAAAGCAAACTCAGAGTATTAATCTCATCCTGTAACTTCAAGCATCTGAAATTGGTATTGTGATGCAAACCAAATGCTTTTTGTCTTACTTCGATCACGCTTTGTAAACTAGCAATATACTGCGGGAAAAAAGGGGAAAAAGAACTGGCTATGTATTCAGTATGTTCATATAAGTACAAAATCATCTTAGTTGGATACACTAGAACTTGGTTGGTCAAATTAGTACCGCAACTCTGTAAGATCCCCAATAATTACACCTTTAAAGTAGTTTAAGTTGGTACGAAAAATCATGACCCACTCAAGCATACGACATTGCCTTACGTGGGCTTTGACAGACAGAAATTAAGAACAAAGATCAACTTCTGGAAGATTCTAATCAAGCATGCAAAATTTCTACTTTGAAATAAGTAATGGTTAAAAACTATCCTTAATTTTTGGATAATAGGAAAACTTCACCCAAAAAGGTACAAAAGAAAAACGAGAATAAAACTATAAAAGTAAATTTATTCAGTATATTCATGTTTGAAATCATTTCTCGTGCCAAATTTATATTCCTCAGCTACACTAGAAGCAAAGAATCAAGCAAAAAAGAGAAAAATTAAAACCAAGTAAAATTAATACTATAATACCCAGAAAACAAAAGCGACAAAGAAGAAGAAGAAGAAAAGTCGATCTGGGGTGGAGTAATTTCTTACGGAAACAACGAGAAGGGCTCGGAGAGGGGAGCCACGGCGAGTCCAGAGGAGGACATGACGAGCTGTATTCTTAGTAGCAAGGCGAAGCAGAGGAACATTTTCGGAGAGAGCAGCTTTGGACCGGCGAAGCAGAGGAGCAGATGCTGAGCTTGGAAAGAACATCGCAGCAATCAAACGGTTGAAAACTATGTAAAGAGGGATCTCTTCTTCTTGTTGAGAAGTCCGCTTGGCATAGAAATCTTTCTTGTCTTCACTGTCTCCAGCAACCTCGACATTGACGCCGTTAGAATTCTCCGCCGCTCCCTCCATCTCTGGTCACACGATGCACAATTTTGTTTTCTAGTGTGTGTGTTTGTTGAGCGTGCAAATTTGAGTGTTAAGGAGGAGTGTAGTACTGGCCAGAGTTATTAAACCGAGCCGGGGAGGAACTCGCCCAAAGGATGGGTCAACGGATTATCTTATTCAATCAATAGATGGGTGGTTGAATCAGTAGATCATCCAATATATTTAAAAATATTATTATATTTCATAATTTTGAATGTAAGATGTGTTGTATAAACGTTAATAAACTCTGTCCCAGCACATGCTCATTTAAGTTAATTCGTTATCGAATAATTAATTCTTCTAAGAATCAGTAAAATCTAAATTTAATTAGTAATCCGCATACCTTAAAACGTAAAATTTTATCTATGTTTGATATAATTATCTAGTTTGTTTAGAAGTTTTAAGTGCAAAAGGTTATTAGGAACAATATTTGTATTCAAGATAAATTAAGTAATATGTTATTTTTAAAATCTATTTCATTATCTATTGAGTCTGGGAAGTAATAAGTTTTATTAAAATATTCCAAATACATTTGTTTTATAGAAGTTTTAAAAGATAAAGAAAGGGTTGACAGAAAAGTTCATATAAAGTGAAAATGATCATCAACTGACATGAGCTGATGGCCTTGTAGTAAGTGTACTCTATATACAAGCACAAGGTCCCAAGTTCGAACCATTTACAAAACCGATTGGGCTCTTGGGTCAATTTGATTGAATTATTAGTTCTCTGATAAGCCAATACATCTTCTTTGATAAAATTAAAGGCCCAACTAATTGATCGGTTTATCGGGTTAATTGGTTGACCGTCAAAATCAGGCCGGTTTAATAACTATGGTACTAGTTAGTATCAACTCTGGGTGGCCAGGTGGGCTTTTTTCTTCTGCTATCCCTATTCCCTACATCCAGTGTGTGGGTGTGTGTGGATATGCGGGTGTTGGCAAAGCCAGGTTGAATTGAGGTTAAAAAATAAGATGATATTAGCGGTTGTGGAACTCAAAGAGTGGTGCGGTGTTTGGATGATAAAGATCGCAGCCATTTTGGCAGCCATTTTGAAATCCTCTGTGCCATTACCCCCACTTACCACGTGAGAGTAGAAAAAACTTTAACAAACAGCACATAACAAGTTAGATAAGTAGGACATTTGACATACATATATAAATAACACTGAGTTGTCACTGAAAAAATGATATTGAAGATGTCATGTAAAATATCAGTTCTTTAATACTTTGAGACGTAATCCATTCTGCTCTTTCTTTCTTTTTCTTTTTTTTTTCTTTGGATGGAATCGACATTGTAATTTAATGTGACTTACCTATTAATTTGGTTGATAAATCACATTATTTGAGCAATATTCGCAATTAATCAAGCACTAGTACTAGCTGGTAGGAGCGGTAGTTTCTCGTTCAAAGATTCAAGGCTTTCATTTTCTGGTGAAATGGCCGAATTTCAGGTAGTCTTGCCGGCAAGTCCAGGAGGAGGTTGTTGGGAGTTGGATGGTATTGACACAAGGGCTATTTCTCTGCACTTCCACGGTTACGCAGGCGTTTCTGATTTTCATTTGTTCAATTCTGGGCAGTAGTACCAACCCGAAGATTACATACATCAAAGCTTTCTTCTTCAAAGAGATAAAGGCCAGCCAGACAGTGACTATTCTGCCGACATTGTTGACATACACTCACAAGATAACTGGGGAATACCTTCGGGAATGCAGCAGTTATAGATTACATTTTTTCGTGCGACAATTCATGTCCTCCTGGATTATTTTTTTTCCTAGAGAAGAGTTTGGGAGGGCATGTCCTGGATAATCGTCATTGATCTCGTCTAACTATGGCAAGTTAGCTCCTGCCAAGACGCTCGCACCAAACCTTCTAGCCAGTCAGGAAACTGCATAATCACGGAGCAACCTGTCAGTCATCAGAAAGAATCAGGGGTGATTATAACACCGTTTACCTTAGCATATTGCCCTCGATTTAGTTCCTAGAAATCTAATTAACTACTACTTTTCATGACTAGATGTGGTCTAGCAGGTTCAGAAAATCCCACTAGAACAAAGAGTGGCAAGTTAGCACCCAGAACACAATATGACCTGTACAAGAAAAGTGACCAGTTCGCCCGCACCATCACAAGGATGTGCCTAAACTGATAATGATACCCCCACCATGCATTAGAAAGTGATCCATAATATTTTTTAACACAGCGAACAATGGCCAAAGGAAAAGCCATTCAATCAACTCACTACCATAGTCAGCATAGATCACATCCTATCTTATATACCAAATAGCTGCTTGTGTAGGAAAATTTTCTCTGCTTGACATTATAATAGCATGGTAACAAACTTTTTTAAGTTTTCAATCAAACTAATGAATTCAATTCACCAATAACAAATCACTCCACACGGTCAGTCATGCCCTTAAATCATCACTTCTTAAAAGCAAAGATTATGTGGTTTGGCCAAACTGACATGGGTCAATAAAACATAGAACTATAACACCATAATTATGAAAAAAAATTAAGTACAAAATCACAAAAAGAAGTACATAAATGAATCGAAATCCAAAGCTGGCTAAACAAGCTTATCCAATTAAATAAGCGTACATGACTGTACACCAGATGCTTTGGATCATCTTTAAAATTTATATAGCATGAATTAAGGCATTAAATTGCAGCATGATTCCATGAGTTTAATGGAGTCTTAAAATGCAATTAATATGTCGATTAATATGCACTTACAGTACAAGTATTTTGGTTCAAAGCGAAAATTAGTCAATTTATCGACTAATTTTTGTTATGAAACTGTTAAGCTGTTAGTCATTGGACAATAGAACAGGAAGAGCCTTTGAGGACTTGAAGAAAATATCAGAGCGGATGTGATGCATGGTCTTTCCTGATAATGTTAATAGCTCAGCCAACCTGGTCAAAAACTACCACGCAACTTAACAGAAGACCTTGTCAAGGAAAGACATCTGGGCACTTGTATATACGCATATAACCACAATGCAGTAGGACACTTAAGTACAGGCAAAGAGATTAATGCCAATAAAAAGTACTATTAAACGAGGATAAGCACAAGCAGCTCAAACTGAGAGAAGCTCTAAAAACTGAAATGAATACATGAGCACCAAAAACATAAGTTAAGCACCAGTTACCCTGTTGGATCTGAGCTTATAAAAGAAAAAAAGTAAGCTCAGTGAATGTGTCCATTTAAGAGCCAAAGTGGGAGAAGAAAGAACGGAGGATGAGACTTGAATTAAAAGGTCTACCTGCGGTAATAAGAGGAGCAATAATTGCAGAAATAGTTGTAGCAGAAATAACAAACACAGCAACGGACAAGGCACCAATATAGATGGCTGTAACAAAAGCAAAGAAGATAGCCAACAATCCACCAGCTGCTGCTAATGACATGAGAGAAGATATCACAATTGCATTTACATTTGCAGCAAGATAGAAGAACATAAAAACTAGAAGTCCTGTCAGAGCCATAAGAGCAATTGTTCCAACCTGCAACAATCACCAGCAGCAAAAGAGATATCAATAATGGCGTGCTGGAATTTCCAACTCAATAACATACAGCTTGAAGCATCAATTCAACAGTGATGAAGATCAACTCTTTTTTCATAAAAATGCTGCAGACACAATTTTTCGTGTTTACAAATTGACCAACCATGACTTCAAGTCTCCACTGCCCCTTCAGTTCAATCAAAAGGACAGTTTTACAAATGATTGTTCTTCCTGAACAGAACACATCCCCAAAGATGAAACAGTAAGGTAAACTCAGAGTATTAATCTCATCCTGTAACTTCAAGCATCTGAAATTGGTATTGTGATGAAAACCAAATGCTTTTTGTCTTACTTCGATCACGCTTTGTAAACTAGCAATATGCTACGGAAAAAAAGGGGAAAAAGAACTGGCTATGTATTCCGTATTTTAATATACGCACAAAATCATCTTAGTTGGATACAGTAGAACTTGGTTGGTCAAATTAGTACCGCAACTCTGTAAGATCCCCGATAATTACACCTTTAAAGTAGTTTAAGTTGATACGAAAAATCATGACCCACTCAAGCATACGACATTGCCTTACGTGGGCTTTGACAGACAGAAAATTAAGAACAAAGATCAACTTCTGGAAGATTCTAATCAAGCATGCAAAACTTCTACTTTAACATAAGTAATGGTTAAAAACTATCCTTAAGTTTTGGATAATAGGAAAACTTCACCAAAAAAAGTACAAAAGAAAAACAAGAATAAAAGTAAATTTATTCAGTATATTCATGTTTGAAATCATTTCTCGTGCCAAATTTATATTCCTCAGCTACACTAGAAGCAAAGAATCAAGCAAAAAAGAGAAAAATTAAAACCAAGTAAAATTAATACTATAATACCCAGAAAACAAAAGAGACAAAGAAGAAGAAGAAGAAAAGTCGATCTGGGGTGGAGTGATTTCTTACGGAAACAACGAGAAGGGCTCGGAGAGGGGAGCCACGGCGAGTCCAGAGGAGGACATGACGAGCTGTATTCTTAGTAGCAAGGCGAAGCAGAGGAACATTTTCGGAGAGAGCAGCTTTGGACCGGCGAAGCAGAGGAGCAGATGCTGAGCTTGGAAAGAACATCGCAGCAATCAAACGGTTGAAAACTGTGTAAAGAGTGGTCTCTTCTTCTTGTCGAGAAGTCCGCTTGGCATAGAAATCTTTCTTGTCTTCACCGTCTCCAGCAACCTCGACATTGACGCCGTTAGAATTCTCCGCCGCTCCCTCCATCTCCAATCACAATTCACAATCTCTGTTTTCTGGTGTTTCTGCGGGCGCTTTCTAGTGCGCGTTTGAGCGTGCAAATTTGAGTGTTAAGGAGGAGTGGAGTGCTGGCCAGAGTTATTAAACCGGGCACAGGGTGGAAACTCGACTAAAGGGTGGATCAACATATTACTGATGGGTGGTTGAACCGGTAGGTTATTAAATATATTTCATAATTTTTTATATAGGATGTATGGTATAAATATTAATAAATTATGCCATAGCAAAGGCTCATTTAAGTTAATTTGTTATAGAATAATTAATTCTTCTACAAGTCAATAAAATCTAAATTTAATCAGTAATTCACCTACCTTCAAATGTAAAATTTTGTCTATTTGGTATAATTATCTAGTTTATTTACAAACTTTAAATGTAAAAGGTTATTAAGAACAATGTTTGTATTTAAAATGAATTGTGTAGCATGTTATTTTTAAAATTCATTTCTTAATCTACTGAGCCCAAGAAGTAATAAGTTTTATTAAAAGATTTCAAATAAATTTATTTTACAGAAATTTAAAAAATAAAGAAAGGATTGGCTAAAAAGTTCGTATAAAGTGAAAATGACCATCAATTGACATGGGTTGGTGGCCTTATGGTAAGTGTACTCTATATACATGCACAAAAGGATCCAAGTTCAAACCATAACAACACTTTACTAAAATTTTTATGATCTACCCGATTCTTAATAAAATTGGCCGGATTCTCAATTCAATTCAGGAAACTAATGCTACCCAATTCTTTACAAAATTGATAGGGTTCTTGGTTCAATTCGATTGAACTATCGGTTGTTAATAAGTCAATAGGTCTTATTCAATAAGATTAGAGACCCAACTAATTGACCGATTCCCTGAGTTAATTGGTTGACTGTGAAACTGGACCGGTTTAATAACTATGGTGCTAGTTATAGCAACTCTGGGTGCCCAGGTGGGCTTTTTTTATTCGGCTTGGGCAGACCAAGAGTTGGATTGTTCAACTCTATCGTTGATTGATGGGAAGACCAAGAATTGCGTGGGGTTGTGTGTTGGGAAAGCAATGTTGAATGGGGGTAAAAAGATGAGATGATGTTGTTAGCGGTTGTGGAGCTAAGAGTGGTGGGATGTTTGGATGATAAAGACCGCAGTAATTTCGGATAAAGTAGTGAAAATGTCAGTAGTGGGATCATATGTGTCACTACCCAGTGTCAAATTCAATGTAAATCCCACTTATCATATAAGAATAAAAGAAATTTAAATAAACAATACATGACAAGTTAAATAAATAGGATATTTAATATAAATATGTCAAATTCTATATAAATCTCACTTATCACACAAGGATAGAAGAAATTTAAATAAACAACATATGATAAATTAAATAAACAGAATATTTAGTATAAATATAAAAGTGACACCGGAAAAAGTGACACTAAAAGTCTCATGTAAAATATTAATTTCTTTAATACTTTCAAACGCAATCTATTATTCTCTTTCTTTCTTTTATTTTTTTTTCTTTGGATGGAACGGATATTGTAATTTAATGTGACTTACCTATTAATTTGGTTGATAAATAGTAGCATTATTCGATCAATATTCACAATTTATCTAACACTTGTACTGGTTGGTACTTGGTAGGGGTATAGTTTCTCATTCAAAGATTAAGGCTTTCCTTTTCTGGTCAAATGGCTGAGTTTAAGGTAGTCTTGCCAACAAACAAGTCCAGGAGTTTGTTGGGCTTTGGGTGGTACTGACACCTCACAGTTAGGCAGGCGTTTTTTATTTTCATTTGTTCAATTCTGGGTAGTACCAACTCCAAGATTTCATTTTTTTTATTCAATACAATAGTTTTTATTTTATATCTACTCCTACTTTATACCAAAGTAAGAGATAGATCCAGATGAGCCAATAGAAAATTTGAAAGAGACTGAATCACTATCGAATCAAATAAATGTCTCTGCACCCACGGGTAAAACTTTCAAAAAATTCTGAAAAAAAATGCAAGTCAAGGGAAGGGATGGATCAAATCCCTTGACTCGCAAGGCTCTCCCAGCTACTCAAGATTACATACATCAAAGCTTTCTTCTTCAAGGAGAAAAAGGAGAGATATTTTAGTTTCAATTAAATCTGTCTTATCACTTCCCACGCACCTCGAAGTAGTCTATGTCGGAGCAAAGAGACAGCTTAATGAGTTTCATCTTGCGCAGATGAAATCATGAAAGGGACAAAACAAGAGAGAACCTGGAACTCTGGCAGGATTGCACAAATCAGAAATATTTAATATCGATCTGGGCATTTGAACAGTAGACGTTGCCCATGTCGATGTTACAGATAAAGGGAAGCCAGACAGTGACTATTCTGCCGACATTGTTGACATACACTCACAAGATAACTGGGGAATGCCTTCGGAAATGCAGCAGTTATAGATTACATTTTTTCGTGCGACAATTCATGTCCTCCTGGATTATTTTTTTTCCTAGAGAGAAGTTTGGGAGGACATGTCCTGGATAATCGTCATTGATCTCGTCTAACTATGGCAAGTTAGCTCCAGCCAAGACGCTCGCACCAAACCTTCTAGCCAGTCAGGAAACTGCATAATCACGGAATAACACGAAGCAACCTGTCAGTCATCAGAAAGAATCAGGGGTGATTATAACACCGTTTACCTTAGCATATTGCCCTCGATTTAGTTCCCAGAAAACTAATTAACTACTACTTTTCAAGACTAGATGTGGTCTAGTAGGTTCAGAAAATCCCACTAGAACAAAGAGTGGCAATTTATCACCCAGAACACAATATGACCTGTACAAGAAAAGTGACCAGTTCGCCCGCACCATCACAACAATGTGCCTAAACTGATAATGATACCCCCACCATGCATTAGAAGGTGATCCATAATATGTTTTACCACAGCGAACAATGGCCAAAGGAAAAGCCATTCAATCAACTCACTACCATAGTCTGCATAGATCACATCCTATCTTATACCAAATAGCTGCTTGTGCAGGAAAAATTTCTCTGTTTGACACTATAATAGCATGGTAACAAACTTTTTAAGTTTTCAATCAAACTAATGAATTCAATTCACCAATAACAATTCACTCCACATGGTCAATCATGCCCTTAAATCATCACTTTCATGCCCTTAAATCTTCACTTTCATGCCCTTTAATCTTCACTTTGGTACTACAGTATAGGATGTTTTACACTAATTAAACTGGGAATAATTAGCAAAAATGCAATATCTAACTGAGTTAAGAAAGTTTCAGAGAATACAAACCAACAGTATGCTTGTGTTGTAGAAATTTATCTGCACTTTCTTCTAAATAAGATTTGATCCAGCTGAAATTAACAGCATACCAATAACACTTGCAGGCTTGAATATGCTTTCAATGACCATATACAGCATAAAGCAAGCATTACACCCTTAACCATAAATACGTAAAAGATAGCTCCAGAAAGGATATATATATATATATATATATATATATATATATATGGCCATGACCAAAATATACCTAATGCCAACACACTTTTCCAGAAGCAATCTTGTGAATTTAAAGGTTCCATCGACATTTGCAGATCAAAATGCTGAAGAAAATTCGGGATGTAGCAAGTGTAATTTATTCAACAGAAAATACAAGGGATGTCTTTATTCTGTATAGTTCCAGGTTCTTCTGATGATCCCACATTATACCAAATGGATTGCCAATTGTTCTTTTGTTGAAAGAAACAAAGTCAATACATTACAAGAATAATGAAGGACATGAAGTCTAAAGAATTCATAAGAACCCACAAAATGTTTTTAAAAAAAATTCATGACACAAGCATGAACATTTTGATATGTGGCATTCATCCTCTAAATTTACATCACATGCTTTCAACGTATCAGGCAAACAAAGAAACATGAACAAAAGGGATAAAAGCAGACGACATTAAAAATAAGCAATCACCAGAAATGCCAGAGCATCACTTCAGTCACATTTGGAAGTACTGCAGAATTCCTCGATCTGTTACTTTTTGAGGATTTATTCCTCAATTTCCACTAAATTCTATCCAGTTTCCTGAAGTCATAGATCACAGCATTTCATTTGTTCCAGGATGATTTTGCCATGATTTCCAAAGCCACTAGAGACTCTATTTAACTGAAAAGGCTTCTACTTCTTAAATTTTCCTTCTGTTTACCTACATCTGAATTGTCTATCTTAACCAAGAGCTTATGAGGACAAAACCATATCAAGTGCTAACAACAAAAATTCCATTATTAGTGCTTATCTATAAATTCTACCAGATGGAACTGCGGGCATAAAACTACACCTCAGATTTGGTTCAATCTGGATAGGAGTAATACATCGCATTTTTATTCAGTTCAGACATTTTTTCAGGCCTCCAACTTGTAACAGTCTACAAAGCGCTTGCCAGATAAAAAAGGTCAAAACTTTCCCACAGAATTATGAAGCCAAAGAAATAACATTATGCCACACAACTAACATTACTACCACACAACAAAATCCTGAAGCATCAATGAAACTACTTTCCAGTATTGAACCACTCCGCTTCTTAAACTTTAGTCTTATACTTAGTTGATACTACTTCAGACAAAGAAGAAAAAAACCAAACCTTTTGTTCTCTTATAAGTTCTTCATTCTTTTTGTCCTGTGCATGTACACAAAAATAGAATTAGCAATGTTGTTTCTCTAAACCTCCACAAGTACTACAAGGTGCATAGAGAGCTACATTCATCACACAAAACTCAGCCCACACCGCGATGCTACGAATTAACCAATTGCAGTGACAATAAGCTAATAGCAAATGCAATTATGCGAGTGAACATTAACGAACCAAACTTTCTTCTTGATTCAATGTGGAGAAATCAGGACAACTCAGCGGACAACAAACAACAACCACTAACTTCAAATTTTCAACATCACAAAATCCTAATAATCAAACCAACAGCGGTTCTGTTCTATATCTACATATCACAGCTACCCCATAATTTGCCCACCTCTCTATCATGGTCAATGCTCGGCCTCAAAACTACAAAGCAAAACCCTTCAAATACTCAGGGTCCCGCTTCGCCCGCTCCTGAAACTTCTTAAACCACCGGTCCAAAATATCCATGGGCACTACCAGCTTACTCCCATCAACCCCACAAAAAGACTGCATAAAATTGAACAAATTCTCTCCAACTTTCATGGCCAACCGTTCGATTTTCTTTTCAGCAGCAACATCAAGGGAGGGGAGGGACGAAAGGTCCTCCACCGAAACCCCAATTTTCGCAGATAATGGAGCTGAATCCGGCGCTGTGAGTTGTAACTGTCCACCGGGCTCCGGCCACGGCAGAGATAGAACTGCAGAAGGGCGCGTGATAGTCACCGCGCCGCAGTACAGAAAAGGGGAACCGGGGGATTGAATGTAGACGGCCAGGGCTTTTTCTGGAGGGAGTGTGAAGTTGTTGAGAAGGAATATGCAGATTTCTCGAATTGAATCGTAAGCTTCACCTGCGAATCATTGAACAGTAGTCGAATACTAGTTAAAATTTGGACACTAGCTAAATAAAACAACATAAATTACTACAAAAGATCGGATTTTGAGACAAACCCACGAAAGTATTCATGTCGAGGATCCAATGGAAGGTGTCGATTTGAGTGAACGTGGAGATGTCCATAGGGAAGCTGCGGTTTGGGAACACTACTCCGAACATTGTCTTCTTCTTCTTTTTTAGTATTTTTTTTCTTTCGAGGGATTAAAAAAATTGGGTGAACAAAGAAATGGGAGAAGTAGTTTTTGAGTACTGGGGTTGAAAGAATGAAGGAAGGATCTTTGATCTTTCTTTTCGAGTCTAGAGAAGAGATGAAGAAGATGGTTCTGAGGACTGAAGAGGTTTAGCAGAAGAAGTGGTGGGCAGCTGAGAAAAGAAGAGTCCAGAAAGATCCGGGACAGATTCAGTGTCTAGAGCCAGTTTTGGAAATGAATAAAACACCAAAAAGCTTAATCCTTGTAAAAAAAATACTAATAATAAAAATAATTTTGGTAAAATATTTAAAAAAGAAACAACAAATTTATTCCTGAAAAATGGTTTTTTGGACACTTCAAAAGTTCAAAGAATATACTAATAGAGTCGATTTCCAGAAAAGAAAAGGCAAAAAGTGTTAAGACAGTACTAGAAAAAAAAATGATATAAGTTTCAACTCTACCTATAATTGTAGAAAAAAATTGACAATTATAAATTGTAATTGACTTAAAAGAGTTCATTTTGAGAAAAGAAAAAATGAAAAATAATTTTAGATGATAGGATACTTTTTAAAACAAAAAAGAAGTTTCAAAAGCAAAAAATGACAGAATCTAGGAGTGTTTAGACAGCACAAATATCTCAAATAATATTTTACTTGCATCATATATACATTTTCCAACTCACATTTTTATATTCTCAATTATCTTTTTATCTCATATATATCACATCACAAAAAGTGCTATAGTAATTATTTTAAATAATATTTTAAATAATACTCTATCCAAACAAAATATATGACAAAACAAAAGTCAAACATAAGACGTTAACATTTCTCTTCCCAGTTGTTTCTAGGATAATTTGCCATTGAAATTGATAAATTGAAGAATAATGATAGAGTGTGATTTGATTAGAGTAAAAATTATAATCAACGAACGGGTTTAGATAGAGAATTATTTGAAATAATATCAGATAGGAGATTATTTAGAATATTTTGAAAAAAAATCATAACACTTCTTATGATATGATATATGTGAAATAAAAAATAAAAAAATAAAAAAAAAATTATTAAAAAAATTATTTATGATATAATTAATTTTTTTAACAAATAAAACACTATTCAAACATTTTTGCTGAGATATAACCTAATCAAATAAAAGTTTCTGACTTTCTGGTAACATAAAAGAGAAAGAAAAGAAATAATTACAATTTCCCTCTCATGTTTTCCTAAAATACGAAATTAAACCCTCCAATTGTCTAAATTGACCTTCATTTCGTTTCATATGGATAATCGCTAAAACCTCCCCACCCAGCAAAGCTATTCTTGGCTTCTGGATCGCAGCCACGCCCCCCAACCGGCAACCCCTGCCTTGCTTTCCTCTTTTACGGTTGTAGCTCGTCTTATTCTCTTCCCCTTCCGCCCCTCCTTTACTTCTTGTCCTTCAGTAAATTCTTCTTCATTGATCAATTTTTAGACATAAATACGAAAAACCCACAATTCAAATTCCCGGAGAAGACAACTACTTCACACATCTCATCTGATTAAACACGACTCCCAAGGTTAAAGGTTCTACATTTTTTCCATTTTCAGGTTGGTTTTTTTCTCTAACATTAAACTTCTTCTTCTTTTTTTTTCCAGAAGTTATAGCTTATAAAGTGTGTGATTGATTATTTATGTGAATCTCTTATTGTTTCAGATGCGAACTACTTGTTGACAAGTAGCACTTTAATCTAGTTGAACATGTCTCTATCAAGACTTTCTGGAAGAACCATTTTCTTCCCTATCCTTGCATCTTTTTCCAGGTAGCTTATCTACTAGTTCTATGTTTCTTTTCCAACTGTCCTTTACCAAATTGTGCTCAATTCTTGCAATCATGATGTTTCTTTTTCTTTTTTCTTTTTTTTTTGTCTTCATTTGCGTGTATTTGTTGGAAATATTTTTTCCCCCTGAGAGTATGGTTGTGTTTTTTACTGTCCAGGAATTGCACAGGAGCTATTGGGGAAAGTTATAATTTTGTAGGTATTAGTCATGCTAGTTATAGGCAGAGTTTTGGAATTAATAATGTTAGTTGTAGGCTGAGTTTGAATTGTTTGCTGCCAAGATATGAAGTTAGAAGGTTGTTGTTTAGCAAGTGTAGTGGCGTGTCTCCCTTTGGGAATCAGAATATTGGGAGGCCTTACTCTGTACTTAATTCTCGGCCCTATGCAACTCATGCTACGACTGAGCGGAAATCACAGAAGACGCTCATGTACTTGACAGGATTGGTTTTTGCCATGGTTGGACTGAGTTATGCTGCTGTTCCTCTTTATAGGAGATTTTGTCAAGCCACAGGATATGGGGGTACAGTTCAACGCCGTGAGGTTAGTTAGCATCTGGTGATTATAGGTCATGAAATAAGCTGCAAAAATAGCCTTTTAAAGTGTGGCATTTTGTGAACTTGCAGACAGTTGAAGAGAAAATTGCCCGCCATGCTAAAGATGGAACGGTCACTACCAGGTTTAGTTTTATCTTAAAATTATCCAGCATTTTGTTCTCTGATTATTAGTTGCATCATGGTTGAGACAAGTTTAACTCTTGACCTTATGCCTTTTGAGTGTCAAGTGCAAGTTAGTGTTAGCAGTTTTTGCTGTGTTTGTAATTCAGTGAACACACAAACAAAGATCTCAATCACAAATTGTAAAGTGGCAATAGTAGAAGACTCACAGGAGTACGGCAAGATTTTTGCTTGACTAGCTCCCATTTCAACATGATAGCACTTTGTTCATTTCGTCAGTCCATTGCTCATTGTGTCAGGCTTAGGAGTGATGATCTGTTCCATGACAATGGCCAAGTCCAGTCCCTTGTTTGTGTGCTATATAATGTCTATTCAGTTTAATAAAATTTGGGAAGATCAGTAGATTTGTCCTTGTTCACAAGGTTACTGGTGGAAATTCAATTGAACATCTGAATGAATTATTTGGTTATGCAAGCAGAGAGATCGTTGTCCAATTCAATGCTGATGTGGCTGATGGAATGCCTTGGAAATTTGTTCCAACACAAAGAGAGGTGCCCTGTACCTTTTTGTCTAGCATGGCTTGTTGATGCCCATTTGACTCAATTCAGTTGGCTGTACTGTTAACGTCTTCAGTATATTTACAGGTAAGAGTCAAGCCAGGGGAGAGTGCCCTTGCTTTTTACACTGCTGAAAATCGAAGTTCGACTCCAATAACTGGTGTATCTACCTATAATGTGACTCCCATGAAGGTGCATTTCGTTGCTTCTGTTATAAGCTGCCAAAATCGTGCCTTAACTTTGTCTGCTAGTGGTGGTGTATGAACCACTTTAATTGACTCTTAAATCCATTTGGGGTCATTGCTGTGATCTGCTGATTACTTTGGGCTTGATCGTAGAAGTTTTGGATCCATATGAACTCTTCTTTTCCTCTCATCTGCATTTGAAAACCACCCCTCGCTCAATATCATATTTCTTATATGTGTTGTGTAATGTCTGCATAACTCGTCATAAGCATTGAGCTTTTGGTTATTATACGACAGCCTGTCCATTATTTTTGTCCTAGTTGTATAAAGTGTAACAAAAATAACAACAGAATTACTAAATTTGTTGTTGAAAATATGTTAATCTTGAGATTTGCATATATAGAAGTAATGGTCTGCTGGCATGATGCCTGTTCAGTTGTCGGTCTGATTAACTATCCATTGGTGCTTCAACAACAACAGTTAAATGTGAGAACTGATCTTTTTTTTTTTGGCCTTCTTTTCTGTTTGGGACCGTAAATGCAGGGTACTGTTCTTACTCTCTGTTTGTTTATTTTCTAAAAATGTGACTGGATTTTAACCCATGGCTTAGTAGGGTGATAAGTTTGATTTTCTGAAACTTTACTTAGACCTGAATAAAAGAATGCAATAATGACAGTACTTGTAAGGACATCCTTTTGTTTTTGGCTGCAATTTTTTTGTTTCAATTGATATTCTACTACAGTATTGTGGGAGCAGTGTATTTTTTATTTTTTTAACATTGAGGTCAATTCCTTGTGTGATTGCCTTTTGTTATCATCTGTTTGTTCCATTTGAGCTATATAAATCAAATGCAAGGCAAACTTTGTCAAAAATGCTTCTTGTAGTGTGATTACCAATATATATGCGATAGTTTCTTTCTTCTCTCATCTTTTTTGGTTTGTTTGATGGGTGGTCAGTAACCCTGGTACCATATAATCATGCATAAGATAAATTGCAGATCAGCTAACTTTTTATCTAACCATCATGTGCTTACATGAAGCATCCCCTTCTTTTCCTCTTTTTTTTTTTTGGAAGAAGGAAGGGAGGGGGGGGGGGACGATATTAATTTCATTTTGAACCCCTTTCACAAATTAGAAATGTTATTCAGGTTCATTGAATTTGTTGTGCCTCTTTGGTGATGTTAGTACGAAACTTAAAATTTCTTTCGAGTTTTATTCTCAGCCAGACTAATTGTATGGTATATCTGGTGTGAACATCTTCACTTGGGAGCGTGAGACTATAAAGATATTTTTGGTCCAACCAAACCTTGTCTCATTTATTCAGAGTGATGATTGATGATTTCCTTGCAATATAAATTATTTATTCGTGGTTGTTGCCACCTGCTGCTGCTTCCAGGCTGCAGTTTATTTCAACAAAATACAGTGTTTTTGCTTTGAGGAACAGCGGCTCCTTCCTGGGGAACAGATTGACATGCCAGTAAGTAATGTTGTATTTTCGAGCACTAGAACTGGCTGCCTTCAGTTACTCTTTCTTTCCATTTAATTTTCATTGTTATGACTTGTATGTGTAGGTGTTCTTTTACATTGACCCTGAGTTTGAAACAGATCCTAGAATGGATGGCATCAACAACTTGATACTTTCATACACATTTTTTAAGGTTCCGGACGAGTAACTGTGGATTACTTACCCAGAGTTTCTTGGTCAGCATGACTTCCTTTTTCTTCGTTAACGTGGTGATTTTAGCTGCAGTTTTCGTTCCAACCGTGCAAGTTCTGACATTGGAAGTGCTTCAATCTTTTAATTAGTTGGAACTGACATGTTGATGGGCACCTTTGATCTCTTCCCCAAAAAAGAGTGACCATTTTCTTCTCTTCTTTTGTTGAGTAGAAAATTCAAATTTTGAATGAATAAGCAAACCATTGAACCCAGTAGCTACAATGTACCATTTCTGTTTGAGCCAAAGTTGCAGGGTCATGATTTCTTCCT